CGAGTAAAGTAACGAGTAAACAGCAAACACGCAAAGTTATATGATGAGGCCCTCTGTGTCGCGAGCGTCGACGGGTGGGGGGGGTTGCTAGTGGAGCCTCGCAGCGGCGACACTGTGACACACTCACACTGTAGGTGCGCTTCAGATGACGCTCCCTCCGCAAAATGAAGCACCCTCCGGAGTCTGCGTGATCTGCCTGTAGGGAGGGGCGGCCCTGCGAGTAAAGTAACCAGTAAAGTAACGCGTTACTTTATGTAGAGAGTCACAAAGTAAAGCATTACTTTTTTTTAAAGTAGCCAATGGGGACGCACCCCTGAAAGTCCCGCCTACCTGGGACGTTTGTGTCAGAATCACAAACAAAAAATGAAGGAGCGCAAACGAGAAGAGCTGCAGCGAGAGCAAAAGTCTGATCGTTGAGAAAGAAGCAAAGAGAACTGCAAACAAAGAGATGTGTTAAAACAAAGAAGAAAGACTTATAGTTTACATGATTACACAAATGATTTGTTTGCAACTTATAGCAGGGTTGCCAACTTTGGGTACCTGGCTGGAGTGAGATTTTGATATCATGGGTTTAATTCGGTTTAATTACACATATGCGCACGAAATGACTGCTATCGTGTCAGCAGCGGGACCTTAGCATATATATAGGATATATATACAATATATACAAATACACAATAATGGACACAGACTATAAAGGGCACACAGTTTCATTCACTAATGAAAGTCAGACATGTTTGTTTCCACTGTTTTATTGTGTGCCTGTCGCGATAAGCAATTAATTGACTTATCGTACGATAAATAAAAATGAACTCGATAACTTTTCTGACCTCGATAAATTGCCATTTACATGAGGATGTGACTAGCAGTTTGAAAGGATGTACTTGAATTATTATTATATATTATCATTATGTCAGTGGTCTAAAATGGTCATACAACGGTGCCGACAATATTATCGTTTATCGCAATAATTTCCGGGAAAATGTATCCAACAAAATTAATTATCGTGAGAGGCCTATACATGAAACACACACACACACACAAATCTACAGACTTACTCCAAACTGCCAAATATATTAATTAACACACTCTCACTCTCATATACTCTTTGACTCTATTTTGGCCTAGTAGAACAATAAGCAGCAGACTTTTACTTTTTTATCATTTCTACTGGATCTTAGATCTGCGCATGCGCTCCAGAGCATTTTTGTTGGGTAATCTATGGTAGGGCTAACCCATACAGTGGTGGGGCTCAGTATTTGCAATGTAATTACATACACGCTCCCCCCGACAGTGAAACGCCACGCGTGAGGTTTAGATTATTTCCCTGTCTCAATCCAAATTGAACTGTATGAAATAAAAAGGCACATTTGTCTTGTAGTAAATAAAAAGGGCGACCTGGAGCCAATCCTGCAATTTCCCCACAGGTGAAAGAGTTGACCCCTGCAGGGGGGGTCTGGGGGGATTCTCCCCCAGGAGAATTTTTTAAATACTAACATAAAATACACATTCTGGTACTCTCTTGAGAAGAAAAATAAATAAATCTATTACTACACATTTAAAAAAATGAATGCCATATTAGTTTTTTGTTACTTTGTTCTGAAAGCTGAACCTGCTGCTCCTCACAGAGAGAAGAGGGAAGAGGCTGTGTGAATTACTTTACATTGTGGATAAGGGTGGATAGCCCCCATTGTTCTGTGTGTCAAAATGAAAGACAGCCCACACACCTATCAATCATCAAACCGTGGGGTCTTATTTCATTACGTGTTGATTTCTATCAACACGTAATGTTGTATCGATGATATGAGATGTACTACCGCAAAAGTATTCTCATCTCCGTCGGGACTTCCTGCAACAACACCACGCCGTTATCGTGATTCTGATTGGCCAGAATACATTATCAAAGATGTTCTATTGAGAAGACGATCACTACGTGACAAAAGTTTTCAAAACCGTTTCTCGTCTTCGTATTCTTATTTTTGGCGTGAGAATAGTTTGGGCAGCGTGAGAGCGTGAGATTGAGAGTGAAAGCGTGTGTCACACGCCAGATGCGTGAGAGTTGGCAACCCTGTTATAGTTTTACTTTTGAAATAAAATGTATTTTGCTTGACTCAGTTTTTTTTTCTCTTAAAGCTCCCATGTCATGCTTTTCCGGTTATTACCCGTCCCCTTGTGTGTTATGAAGGTTTTTATGCATGTAAACGGTGTGCAGAGTCAAAACCCTCAAAGTACACCCTGTAGCGAGTAAAACTCTAACACAGAAAATACCTCCCCAAAACGCCTCGTTGGAGATACGTCACTGCCCATTTGAGTCTTCCATTTAGTTCCGGGTACCGCCTGATGTCATGCGGTACCCGGAACGAAATGGACCAATCCCGAAGAGCTATGGCCACACCAGCAGCGGCGTGTTCCTCCTCCAGAGGTTCGAAGAAACCGGCATTTCACAGACGAAAGCTTCCAAAAACATTGCCCAGTTTGAGGCCGGATATGCACAGCTTGTTTGGACCGTTTGGAGCAGGGGAAGATCTGGGTATACAACCTGTAAGTTTGCATTGTTATTTGTGTATTTATCAAACAAGACTGTTTAAATGTGTAAACTGCTAAGCCATTGACACAGTGCTAACTGTGCTAACTAAGTTGCTAGAGTTTCCATATATCAACTCTAATATCAGCAGATGGCCTTGCATACATGTATCTCATAGCAGGAGAATGTCTGCATTCACACACAAAATACCTATTGACAGTATACTGCGGGTGATTGCCGGTCAGTCGCGAAACGTAATTACATTATAGCTGGCGTAGCGATCTAACACACGGAGCTTGAGCTAGTTTTGGTCAGAAAAACATTTTTGTGATGCTACGTTGCTAAGCGTTTAAATATATCAACTACAATGTCAGCAGATGGCCTTACATGTTTGTCATGGCAGGAGAATGTCTGCAGTCACACACACGGAATACTCATACAGTATACTGTACTTGATTTACCGTACATTGTGACCGTACATATACTGCATGTAGCTAACGAGGCTAGCTGTATGCTAGCGCAAAACAATGTATTCATGCAAGTTACATTGTATGGTAGCAGAATACCCGTATACGATTGCAATTATAAACACGTTATTGCTAGCCTAATATGAACCACTAGCTTTTGTTCATAGTAGTTTTATTACACTGCATTATAGTTGCCTTTCCTCCAAGCTAACGTTCATATCGTGTTAGCTACCAAGGTAAACAAAGCTAGGTTAGCATATTAGCAGGCAAGCTGTTCATTACACAACTACTACTAACGAATCTAAAACAACTAAGTTTCTCTAATATTTTGTGATTTGCATTTGATTTCGTCCAGCCAGATCCTGGCGGACAATCCATGACGGGGAAGGGATTCTACTACTACTGAGGGTGCTAAAAGGCACCGCACCGCACCGGCTGTGCGCAGGCAAGAGGAGGAGGAATGGATGATATACCGTGTATATATGTATATTTATGTTCATTTTGTACATTTCTAAAAATAAAGTTTAATGGAAATACTTAGTAGGCCTATCCTTTCTTCCCTGAATTCATATATAGCAAACCATGATTTGATTTCTCATCAAACAGTAGTAGTTTATAACGGGTAAAAATAACTTACTCTTTGTTATGAGAGTAGCTCGTAGGCCACAACGGAAAGACAAGGAGACATACACGAGTTTACAAAACCACGGCACATTTATTGTGGTAAATGCAAAGATAGGTGGTTGAGAGGATCGCAGAGTTAGTCTTCCTGCAGCCGCTTTGGAGAGAGACTGGGGCCGTAGTGTCCGGAGGTGTCCGTGATCGTGCTGATTAGCTTCTTCAGCTCCACCCCATCGTAAGACAAAGGCCCTGGGGCCGTCACACTCTTCTATAACAACAGTTAAAAATATATATGTATATAAAATATACCGCTGTACCGACGCCATGATAAGACTGATGTTACGCTGAGAGCAGCCGGGAAAAGCACTGACATGGGCGCAGCCTCTCTGGTGGTTGACTAATCAGAACGAGTGGCCGAGCTGACCAATCGGAGCACACTAGGCTCACAGGGAGGGGGGGGCAAGAGCTCCAACGAGTCGTTTAGTGGAGAAAGTGAATACTGCTGAATACACATGCTTGACAGAGATGCTGTATGCGAAACCAATGTGAGTTTGGAAAATTGCACAGTATAAATCTATTTTAGTATACCTCAACAATGTAATTATGAGCAGTGGAAATGGCCATGACATGGGCCCTTTAAAGGTGGGGTAGGTAAGTTTGAGAAACCGGCTCGAGATACACTTGTTGTTATATTCCATGGAATGCTCTTAACATCCAGATAGCAATGAATATCTGAAGTGCTTTGACAATAAATCCATAAATAAATATCATCTGTGGAAGCTGTAGTACTGTAAAAAGCACGACCAATCATCTGAGCCGGCCCGGCTAAAATAACTGGATGGCCTACCTGCCTGTCAGCCTTCCATCTGGGCACAAACTTATCTCGTGCCCTCATTGGTCATGTGCGCGTTCGTGTGTGTTGGAGGAGGGGCTCTGTAAGGAAGTGGCAGATTTTCTCCGGTTGTGTATTTTCAAATTCTAGCGATCTCGAGCCGGTTTCTCACACTTACCTACCCTACCTTTAAACTCTTAGTTTTGCTTGATTCTGAGAAAGTGTTGCTTTATCTTTATGAAACAAAACTAATCCCATACCTCCCCAGACTCAGAGACAGTTTCATCCCACAGGCCATCAGACTGTTAAACACCTGAACTCTGTGAAGAACATCCATAAACAATTTGCAACTTAGATATATCAATATTCCAATTACTGTATAGACTATTCTGCACTTTCTATTTATTTACCTGTACTATTTTATCTGTGTTATTGTGTTGCTCTGTTGGAGGAGCCTGTGACCTCAGATTTTCATTGACATAACTACACTGTAGCTCTGAACACATGACAATAAAAGCCTTGGAAACTACATGTAATAGCAGCATTGTGCCTGCAGGGGCGCTGTGAGCTGACACTCTCACAGCAACAACAGGAAGCTGAGCTCTCGCAACACATCCGTCAAACTGTTGTTTTCCTGAGTTTATCGTGAAACTCTGAGCTCTTTAGTGATCATTGTGTGTTCATCCAGTGAGCTGTGAGTGTGTGAAGAGACCCTGATGGCCGGCACCGCGCTGAAGAGACTCATGGCGGAGTATAAACGTGAGTGAGAGGATTTAACACGTCACTGTTAGAACGCTGAGCTAACGGCTAACAGCTAACGGCTAACAGCTAACAGCTAACAGCTAACCCTATGGATTTAATAATAATAATAATACATTTATATCGCGCTTTCCCTGGTGCTCAAAGCGGATTGAAGGTCTCCTTCTCCTGATATCCGCTGTTTCATCACTGAGACGCATTAGTACAAGTACAAGCACTCATATCTAGTGCTTTAGTACGAGTACAAGCACTCATATTTAGTACTAAACTAAAAGAAGTACTCAGGTCTTGTACTTGGTTATATTGTGTTAAACCATTTTCAACAATGATTGTAAATATGTTTATTGGGAGTCAAAGGTCTCAGAAACAGGAAATGAATTTGAAATAATCCTCTTCTTACTGTGTGACTGAACTTGAATGTATTTCAGGTGTTTTCCAGCAGACTTGGGGACAGAGTGAAAGTCAGGACAGCAGCCACATCTAACTGAAGCTAGCATCTTTAAAAAGTCATATTTAATACTGATGTATTTGATCTATACATGCTGCCACTTATTTATATCTGTTTCACCCTGCGTGCGCACCTATCTGTTTCACCCTGCGTGCGCACCTATCTGTTTCACCCTGCGTGTGCACCTATCTGTTTCACCCTGGGTGTGCACCTATCTGTTTCACGCTGCGTATGCACCCATCTGTTTCACCCTGGGTGTGCACCCATCTGTTTCACCCTGGGTATGCACCCATCTGTTTCACGCTGGGTGTGCGCCCATCTGTTTCACCCTGCGTGTGCGCCCATCTGTTTCACCCTGGGTGTGCGCCTATCTGTTTCACCCTGGGTGTGCGCCCATCTGTTTCACCCTGGGTGTGCGCCCATCTGTTTCACCCTGGGTGTGCGCCCATCTGTTTCACCCTGGGTGTGCGCCCATCTGTTTCACCCTGGGTGTGCGCCCATCTGTTTCACCCTGGGTGGTGCGCCCATCTGTTTCACCCCTGTTTGTGCGCCCATCTGTTTCACCCTGGGTGTGCGCCCCATCTGTTTCACCCTGGGTGTGCACCCATCTGTTTCACCCTGCGTGCGCACCCATCTGTTTCACCCTGCGTGGTACGCTTCCTGCTGCAGGACGAGCACATGACTTCTGATTTAAATACCTGCAGGATACTTATCGTTCTGAGTTAAATGAAAGGTTGTGATGCTAACGTGATGCTAACGTGATGCTAACGTGTGTGTTTCAGAGCTGACGCTGAACCCACCTGAGGGAATCGTTGCAGGTGAGACTCAATCAATGAACTGCGAGTTATACAAAATAACAGCTCCTGCTCCTGCTCCTCCTCCTGCTCCTCCTCCAGCTCCTCCTCCTGCTCCTCCTCCTGCTCCTCCTCCTGCTCCTCCTCCTGCTCCTCCTCCTGCTCCTCCTCCTGCTCCTCCTGTAGTGTATATATCTATGTATTATTAAAATGAACTGAAAGGCTCACATGAGGTTTGAATCTGCAGGTCCGGCTAATGAGGAGAACTTCTTTGAGTGGGAGGCGCTCATCATGTGAGTACACTTTGAACACACTTTGAACGCACTTTGAACACACTTTGAACACACTTTGAACGCACTTTGAACACACTTTGAACACACTTTGAACGCACTTTGAACACACTTTGAACACACTTTGAACACACTTTGAACGCACTTTGAACGCACTTTGAACGCACTTTGAACGCACTTTGAACGCACTTTGAACGCACTTTGAACGCACTTTGAACAAAACACACTTTGAACGCACTTTGAACGCACCTTGAACACACTTTAAACAAAACGCACTTTAAACAAAACACACTTTGAACAAAACACACTTTAAACAAAACACACTTTGAACGCACTTTGAACACACTTTGAACAAAACACACTTTGAACGCACTTTGAACACACTTTAAACAAAACGCACTTTGAACGCACTTTGAACACACTTTAAACAAAACGCACTTTAAACAAAACACACTTTAAATAAAACACACTTTAAATAAAACACACTTTAAATAAAACACACTTGAAACACACTTGAAACAAACACACTTTAAATGAAACACACTTTAAATAAAACACACTTGAAACACACTTTAAATAAAACACACTTTAAATAAAACACACTTTAAATGAAACACACTTTAAATAAAACACACTTGAAACACACTTTAAATAAAACACACTTGAAACACACTTGAAACACACTTTAAATAAAACACACTTTAAATGAAACACACTTTAAATAAAACACACTTGAAACACACTTGAAACACACTTTAAATAAAACACACTTTAAATGAAACATACTTTAAATAAAACACACTTGAAACACACTTTAAATAAAACACACTTGAAACACACTTTAAATAAAATACACTTTAAATAAAACACACTTTAAATAAAACACACTTTAAATGAAACACACTTTAAATAAAACACACTTGAAACACACTTTAAATAAAACACACTTGAAACACACTTTAAATACAACACACTTTAAATAAAACACACTTTAAATAAAACACACTTTAAATGAAACACACTTTAAATAAAACACACTTTAAACACACTTTAAACACACTTTGAATACACTTTGAACACACTTTAAATAAAACACACTTTAAATAAAACACACTTTAAACAAAACACACTTTAAATAAAACACACTTTAAATAAAACACACTTTAAATAAAACGCACTTTAAACAAAACGCACTTTAAATAAAACGCACTTTAAATAAAACGCACTTTAAATAAAACGCACTTTAAACACAAACTTTAAATAAAACACACTTTAAATAAAACGCACTTTAAACAAAACACACTTTAAATACACTTTGAACACACACTTTAAACAAAACACACTTTAAATAAAACACACTTTAAATAAAACACACTTGAAACCCACTTTAAATAAAACCCACTTTAAATAAAACACACTTGAAACCCACTTTAAATAAAACACACTTTAAATAAAACACACTTGAAACCCACTTTAAATAAAACACACTTGAAACCCACTTTAAATAAAACACACTTTAAATAAAACACACTTGAAACCCACTTTAAATAAAACACACTTTAAATAAAACACACTTGAAACCCACTTTAAATAAAACACACTTTAAATAAAACACACTTTAAATAAAACACACTTTAAATAAAACACACTTTAAACACACTTTAAACGAAACACACTTTAAATGAAACACACTTTAAATAAAACACACTTGAAACACACTTTAAATAAAACACACTTGAAACACACTTTAAATGAAACACACTTTAACCTGTTACGCACCCGGTACCGGGCGGATAAACGCGTCATTTCCAGCAAACAACGTCTAAGGAATCTTAATATTTAATAAACTATGAATGTTTTATATCCATGTAACGGGAAGAAACTCAGCTAACTGATCTTTTAAAAAAATAAAATCTAAAAAAAAAAACACAATGCTAACACTCAGCCTCTGAATTAGCCACGAGCGAAAAAATGTAACCTACAAAGGCACTTAAACTCACAATAACTCCCTTATTACTTATCCTAGATGCACAGCCAACCCCTCGATTAGCATCTCCTGAAGACACTGAATCTGTGGGTGCCCTCCTCAACACTCAGTGATAAACATTTGCGACGCTATAAACGAAAGCGTACATCATAACATGTGGAGCTAGGTAGCTAGAAACGCTAACATGGCTTACCTTGGTCAAAACTGGTCTTCAATGGCATTAAAACGATAAAAAAACGATGCTGCAGTTAATCCATAGGTTCATCCAATGTGTCTGTGTCCTCTTTGAAATGATTTCTGATAATCCATAAGCAATAAAACTGCTTTTTAGTTTCCAAATGTCAGAGCGAGAGATCGCTTCACTCTGCTGCAAAATTACATGTGCGCAGCCCCCACCTTTTCTCTTCACAACGTGTGTGTGAGGGGGACTCCCCTTTCGATTCTATTGGCTCTAACGGTCAGAAAGAGGTATCAACCATCAACATCGACCAAGAGGGGCCAGAGATATGGAAAAAAAAACAATTTTCACCCAAATCACCTCAGAGGTGGGGTGGTTTTGGCTAAACCTCTCTAAAAAGGTCAAATGTCACTTGTCTTGCATCAATCTTGATACAGGGTACTTATTATATGTTGTACTTTGGATTCCTAAAGCTTTTAGTCTACTAACCCATCATCCAAGGGTAGTTTTCACTATAAGTAAAAAATAATTTTTGGACGGACACTATAATTTACAGTTTTTTTTTACTATGTAAAATCTGAATTTTCTTTAAAATAAAAAACATCTATATTGATTCTGACTTTTCTACATCCAACTCACAGGTTTATCATTACTTTGAGAATAAAGATTATTCATTTAACCCTTTTAGAAGGGAAGATATGGTCATTTGTTTTGGGCATGTCATTTTCGAGCCTGAAACATGAAAAACAGGCTTGGTGCTTAACAGGTTAAACCCACTTTAAATAAAACCCACTTTAAATAAAACCCACTTTAAATAAAACGCACTTTAAATGAAACGCACTTTAAAGGGGACCTATCATGCAAAATGCACTTGTGTACGTCTTTTATACATGAATATGTGTCCCCGGTGTTCCAGGGAACTCACCAAGTGTCAGAAAACACAACCCTCTCTATTTTCCTCCATACCCAAATCTCTAAAAAAGGGGCTGCAACGGATCTGATAAAAACTGATCCAGATTTGAACACTGTCCTGACGTCAGCACGGTGGCGCTACGGCTATTGGGCCAACTCCACCAATCAGGAGGAGACAGCCACGGCCATTGCCGTTCCAAAGCGCTGGAGACGCTGTAGTACATATGCCAGGCCAGTAGGTGGTGCTGTTCTCACTGAATCTGCCCTTGCACAAACAGAGCTATAAATTGTCAAATTGAGCAAAATGAGGCATGGCTAAAATGCATGATCTGTTTGGTATTTTGAAAAAAAAAAAGTATAAATATGCCTTATATAGGTATGGTCCTACACTATATTATTCAAATATAGCATGATAGGTCCACTTTAAATAAAACGCACTTTAAACAAAACGCACTATAAATAAAACGCACTTTAACCTGTTAAGCCCGAGAGACCCCGGTACCGGGGCACTGCCGCAACATCTTGCAGGAAACAGTGTCTGAGGGCATGTTCATTTAAAAAACTATAAATGTTTTATATCCATGTAACGGGAAGAAACTCATCTAACTGATCTTTTTTTTTTTTTTTTCAAAAGAAAACCCACAATGCTAACACTGAGCCTCTGAATTAGCAACAAGCGAAAAATGCTAACTCCTTACTGCACCGAAAATTACTCACAAAACCTTATTTATCTTTTCACCACATCCAACACATCGATTCACATCGTGAGGTGACACAGAATCGTTTGACACCGACATTATCACTGAATTATACGAAATGGCGACGTTATAAACAAAAACGGACATCAAAACAGGTGACGCTAGGTAGCTAAAAATGCTAAAATGTTTACCTTGGCTCTGTAGTCTCTCCAAAGTGGTCTTCAATGGCATTAAAACGCTAAAAACGCTGCTGAAGTTAATCCATAGGTTAATCTAATGTGTCTGTGTCCCTTTGAAATGATTTCTGATAATCCATAAGCAATAAAACTGCTTTTCCGTTTCCAGATGTCAAAGCTAGAGATAGGTTCACTCTGATTGAAAATTACATGCGCGAAGCCCCCACCTTTTCTCTTCACAACGTGTGTGTGTGGGGGACTCCCCCTTCGATTCTATTGGCTCTAACGGTCAGAAAGAGGTGTCAACCATCAAAATCGAGCAAGGGGGGCCAGAGATATGGAAAATCCACCCAAATGACCCCAGAAGTGGTTTCTTTTTGCTAAATCTCTCTAAAAAGGTCAAATGTCACTTGTTTTGCATCAATCTTGATACAGGGTACTTATTATATGTTGTACTTTGGATTCCTAAAGCTTTTAGTCTACTAACCCATCATCCAAGGGTAGTTTTCACTATAAGTAAAAAAGAATTTTTGGACGGACACTATAATTTCCAGTTTTTTTACTATGTAAAATCTGAATTTTCTTTAAAATTAAAAACATCTATATTGATTCTGACTTTTCTACATCCAACTCACAGGTTTATCATTACTTTGAGAAAAAAGATTATTAATTTAACCCTTTTAGAAGGGAAGATATGGTCATTTGTTCTGGGAATGTCATTTTCGAGCCTGAGACCTGAAAAACAGGCTCAGGGCTTAAGAGGTTAAATGAAACACACTTTAAATAAAACACACTTTAAATGAAACACACTTTAAATGAAACACACTTTAAATGAAACACACTTTAAATGAAACACACTTTAAACACACCTTAAAGGTAGGGTAGGTAAGTTTGAGAAACCGGCTCGAGATACACTTTTTGTTATATTCCATGGAATGCTCTTAACATCCCGATAGCAATGAATATCTGAAATGCTTTGACAAAAAATCCATAAAAAAATATCATCTGTGGAAGCTGTAGTACTGTAAAAAGCACGACCAATCATTTTAGCCGGGCCCGGCTAAAGTAACTGGATGGCCTACCTGCCTGTCAGCCTTCCATCTGTGCACAAACTTATCTCGTGCCCTCATTGGTCATGTGCGCGTTCGTGTGTGTTGGAGGAGGGGCTCGGTGAGGAAGTGGCAGATTTTCTCCGGTTGTGTATTTCCAAATTCTCGCACACTCAAGCCGGTTTCTCCGAAATTACCTACCCTACCTTTAAGTGAAAGACACTTTAAATGAAACACACTTTAAATGAAACACACTTTAAACACACTTTAAATGAAACACACTTTAAATGAAACACACTTTAAATGAAACACACTTTAAACGCACTTTAAATGAAACACACTTTAAATGAAACACACTTTAAGGCGCCGTTTACACGAGGAGAAAACTGCTTGTATCTGCATAGTTTCGCGTGCGTATAGCCCTATTATTTACACGAGGCCGATAGAAACTGACCCCACAAACGATAACGGGTCCCAAGGTGGATAGATTTGCAAACGAAACGCTCTGGGGGGTCAACCGAGTCCGTGTAATCACCTCGATACGAATATTTCCTGAAAAAATAACGATAGCCCCGCCTCTCCCCACCTCTCCTGCAGCAACTATCAAAAATAGCTGTGTTAATTAAACGCACAAGGGGTTCTTGAATGAAATAATATTATAAAAGGCAAACCAGAATTGTTAACGCCCAATATACTCCTTAAACAAAATAAACAGAGTCAGATTTCATGCATTGATCCATTATATTGACAAAGGAGGATCTCACCCGTTGTTTGTAGAGAATATCTCTCTCTTTCTGAGCCGTCCTCTCCACGGAGACCTTCTTGGTCGGGATGCAATATCCACAGATTCGGTTTCTTTCAGTTTCTTTCAGTTTCAGTTTCAGGGCTTAAACAGAAGGGTAGCCATGGCAACATTGCAGCGGGTCTGCTCGGTTGCTCTTCTTCGCGGCTTTTGGTGTATTTTTGCGGAAGTTACAGCGCCACTTACAGTCCCAGCATATGTACTACAGCGTTTCCAGCGGCCTCGTTTGAACAGACACGTTAAATGAAACTAATGCATGTGAACGGAAGACTTTTTTGAATACGCATACTGTGCATAAACGCAAACGGTCCCGTGTGAGCGGGGCCTAAATGAAACACACTTTAAATGAAACGCACTTTAAATGAAACGCACTTTAAATAAAACGCACTTTAAATGAAACGCACTTTAAATGAAACACACTTTATAGGGGACCTATCGTGCAAAATGCACTTTTGTACGTCTTTTCTACATGAATATGTGTCCCCGGTGTTCCAGGGAACTCACCAAGTGTCAGAAAACACAACCCTCTCTATTTTCCTCCATACCCAAATCTCTAAAAAAGGGGCTGCAACGGATCTGATAAAAACTGATCCAGATTTGAACACTGTCCTGACGTCAGGACGGTGGCGCTACGGCTATTGGGCCAACTCCACCAATCAGGAGGAGACAGCCACGGCCATTGCCGTTCGAAAGCGCTGGAGACGCTGTAGTACATATGCCAGGCCAGTAGGTGGTGCTGTTCTCACTGAATCAGCCCTTGCACAAACAGAGCTATAAATTGTCAAATTGAGCAAAATGAGGCATGGCTAAAATGCATGATCTGTTTGGTATTTTGAAAAAAAAAAAGTATAAATATGCCTTATATAGGTATGGTCCTACACTATATTATTCAAATATAGCATGATAGGTCCACTTTAAATAAAACGCACTTTAAACAAAACGCACTTTAAATAAAACGCACTTTAACCTGTTAAGCCCGAGAGACCCCGGTACCGGGGCACTGCCGCAACATCTTGCAGGAAACAGTGTCTGAGGGCATGTTCATTTAAAAAACTATGAATGTTTTATATCCATGTAACGGGAAGAAACTCATCTAACTGATCTTTTTTATTTTTTTTTCAAAAGAAAACCCACAATGCTAACACTGAGCCTCTGAATTAGCAACGAGCGAAAAATGCTAACACCTTACTGCACCGAAAATTACTCACAAAACCTTATTTATCTTTTCACCACATCCAACACATCGATTCACATCGTGAGGTGACACAGAATCGTTTGACACCGACATTATCACTGAATTATACGAAATGGCGACGTTATAAACAAAAACGGACATCAAAACAGGTGACGCTAGGTAGCTAAAAATGCTAAAATGTTTACCTTGGCTCTGTAGTCTCTCCAAAGTGGTCTTCAATGGCATTAAAACGATAAAAACGCTGCTGAAGTTAATCCATAGGTTAATCTAATGTGTCTGTGTCCCTTTGAAATGATTTCTGATAATCCATAAGCAATAAAACTGCTTTTCCGTTTCCAGATGTCAAAGCTAGAGATAGGTTCACTCTGATGGAAAATTACATGCGCGAAGCCCCCACCTTTTCTCTTCACAACGTGTGTGTGTGGGGGACTCCCCCTTCGATTCTATTGGCTCTAACGGTCAGAAAGAGGTGTCAACCATCAACATCGAGCAAGGGGGGCCAGAGATAGGTCAAATCCACCCAAATGACCCCAGAAGTGGTTTCTTTTTGCTAAACCTCTCTAAAAAGGTCAAATGTCACTTGTTTTGCATCAATCTTGATACAGGGTACTTATTATATGTTGTACTTTGGATTCCTAAAGCTTTTAGTCTACTAACCCATCATCCAAGGGTAGTTTTCACTATAAGTAAAAAAGAATTTTTGGACGGACACTATAATTTCCAGTTTTTTACTATGTAAAATCTGAATTTTCTTTAAAATTAAAAACATCTATATTGATTCTGACTTTTCTACATCCAACTCACAGGTTTATCATTACTTTGAGAAAAAAGATGATTAATTTAACCCTTTTAGAAGGGAAGATATGGTCATTTGTTCTGGGAATGGCATTTTCGAGCCTGAGACCTGAAAAACAGGCTCAGGGCTTAAGAGGTTAAATGAAACACACTTTAAATAAAACACACTTTAAATGAAACGCACTTTAAATGAAACACACTTTAAACACACCTTAAAGGTAGGGTAGGTAAGTTTGAGAAACCGGCTCGAGATACACTTTTTGTTATATTCCATGGAATGCTCTTAACATCCCGATAGCAATGAATATCTGAAGTGCTTTGACAAAAAATCCATAAAAAAATATCATCTGTGGAAGCTGTAGTACTGTAAAAAGCACGACCAATCATTTTAGCCGGGCCCGGCTTCCAGCCTTCCATCTGTGCACAAACTTATCTCGTGCCCTCATTGGTCATGTTGGAGGAGGGGCTCTGTGAGGAAGTGGCAGATTTTCTCCGGTTGTGTATTTTCAAATTCTCGCGCACTCAAGCCGGTTTCTCCGAAATTACCTACCCTACCTTTAAGTGAAACACACTTTAAATGAAACACACTTTAAACACACTTTAAATGAAACACACTTTAAACACACTTTAAATGAAACACACTTTAAATGAAACACACTTTAAATGAAACGCACTTTAAATGAAACACACTTTAAACACACTTTAAATGAAACACACTTTAAATGAAACACACTTTAAACACACTTTAAATGAAACACACTTTAAACACGAGGAGGACTTCACAGTGAATCGAGTTTTGATCAGAATCTGAACCGGTGCTTAAATCAGATCCCAGTAGGCACAGTATTTGTTAAAGGTGAAATATGTGAAAGTGGAGCTGCAGACTCGTAACGCCGGAGAACAGAGCGGCGCCGTCAGCAGCTCCGAGTGTTTTTAAAATGTTGTCATGATACTTTTTTCTCAAGTAAAGGATCTAAATACTTCCTTTCCTCCTGCTGTGCTTCAGGGGTCCTCAGGACACGTGTTTTGAAGGCGGCGTGTTCCCTGCCGTCCTCAGCTTCCCCTCAGATTATCCCCTCAGCCCCCCCAAGATGAGGTTCACCTGCGACATGTTCCACCCCAACAGTAAGGTCTCTCTCCTTCTCTAATCTCTAATGCTCCTGCTGTCCAGGTGAGACTCAGAGGGTCACCTGGACATGTTCCACCCCAACAGTAAGGTCTCTGTCCTTCTCTAATGCTCCTGCTGTCCAGGTGAGACTCAGAGGGTCACCTGGACATGTTCCACCCCAACAGTAAGGTCTCTCTCCTTCTCTAATGCTCCTGCTGTCCAGGTGAGACTCAGAGGGTCACCTGGACATGTTCCACCCCAACAGTAAGGTCTCTCTCCTTCTCTAATGCTCCTGTTGTCCAAGTGAGACTCAGAGGGTCACCTGGACATGTTCCACCCCAACAGTAAGGTATCTGTCCTTCTCTAATGCTCCTGCTGTCCAGGTGAGACTCAGAGGGTCACCTGGACATGTTCCACCCCAACAGTAAGGTATCTGTCCTTCTCTAATGCTCCTGCTGTCCAGGTGAGACTCAGAGGGTCACCTGGACATGTTCCACCCCAACAGTAAGGTCTCTGTCCTTCTCTAATGCTCCTGTTGTCCAGGTGAGACTCAGAGGGTCACCTGGACATGTTCCACCCCAACAGTAAGGTCTCTGTCCTTCTCTAATGCTCCTGTTGTCCAGGTGAGACTCAGAGGGTTAAAATTCACACAAACAGAATAAATCTCGATGGCAGTTAAATAAATGAGATTGTTTAAAGGTTTAAGTTGAGGATGTTTGACGATCAGAGCTGAAACTGTGACAGAGTGTGTTCCTCGTGTCGGGACACGCACACACACCGTTAGCATGCCGTTAGCAATGCTATTAGCATGCTGTCATTAGCGCCTGATTACTGGACTGCAGCCGCTCTGAGTCTGATTATAGGACGAGATGCTGGTGACCCCTCATCAACACACACACACACAGGCACACACACATACACAGAGACACACACAGACACACACACAGAGACACACACACACGCACACACAGAGACACACACCGCACACACAGAGACACACACACACACACACACACACACACACACAGACACACACACCGCACACACAGACACACACCGCACACACAGACACACACACACTCACACAGACACACACACAGACACACTCACACACACACAGAGACACACACAGACACACACACAGAGACACAGACACACACACACACTCACACACACACAGACACACACTCACACACACACACACACACAGAGACAGACACACACACAGACACACACACACACACACTCACACACACACACTCACGCACACACAGACACACACACACACACACACACACACAGAGACACACACTCACACACACAGACACACACAGACACACACAGACACACAGAGACACACACAGACACACACACAGAGACACACACACGCACACACAGAGACACACACACACACAGAGACACACACTCACACACACCAACACACACACAGAGACACACTCACACACACAGACACACAGACACACAAACAGAGACACACACACAGACACACACACTCACGCACACACAGAGACACACACTCACACACACTCACGCACACAGAGACACACACTCACACACACACACACAGACACACACACACAGACACACTCACACACCAACACACACACAGACACACACACACAGACACACACACAGAGACACACACACACACAGACACACACACACAGAGACACACACACACACACACTCACGCACACACAGACACACACCAACACACCAACACACACACACACACCCACATGGCCCTCAGCTGAACTTCCTGAATGTATCGTCTGATCCTCCGACGGCAGATAAAGATGAAACACACGAAGAAGAAAAAAACCCACTTCGTCTTTTCTTCTTCTGGATAATCCTGAAGTTTGCTTCATATTAAAGTAACGCTGCGGCTGCAGGGTGCTGGTTCGATCGCAGGCTGATAAGAAGCGTCAGATGATTCTCTGATAATCTCTGCCTCACAGAAACTCATTTAAACTCCCTGTGAATATCTCAGTTCCTCCCGAGTCCCCAGAGACACCACAGCGTCTGGTCCCGAGTCCCCAGAGACACCACAGCGTCTGGTCCCGAGTCCCCAGAGACACCACAGCGTCTGGTCCCGAGTCCCCAGAGACACCACAGCGTCTGGTCCCGAGTCCCCAGAGACACCACAGCGTCTGGTCCCGAGTCCCCAGAGACACCACAGCGTCTGGTCCCGAGTCCCCAGAGACACCACAGCGTCTGGTCCCGAGTCCCCAGAGACACCACAGCGTCTGGTCCCGAGTCCCCAGAGACACCACAGCGTCTGGTCCCGAGTCCCCAGAGACACCACAGCGTCTGGTCCCGAGTCCCCAGAGACACCACAGCGTCTGGTCCCGAGTCCCCAGAGACACCACAGCGCCTGGTCCCGAGTCCCCAGAGACACCACAGCGCCTGGTCCCGAGTCCCCAGAGACACCACAGCGCCTGGTCCCGAGTCCCCAGAGACACCACAGCGCCTGGTCCCGAGTCCCCAGAGACACCACAGCGCCTGGTCCCGAGTCCCCAGAGACACCACAGCGTCTGGTCCAGAGTCCCCAGAGACACCACAGCGTCTGGTCCAGAGTCCCCAGAGACACCACAGCGTCTGGGGAATAACAATGCCTCAAATTGCAAAGAAAAAGCTTCTTAAGTTTCAGTGTGAAAACCATCTGGATTTATAAAGTTAACGTGATGCCATGGATTTCATTAAGAAAGCTTTGAGTGTTTTTGAAAAAGGTTTTTACTTTCAGTCTAAAAAGTGTCTTTCCTTTTTAAAGCAGAAGCTCTTTGATTTATAAAGAAAAAAACTACAATTTTATTGAATAAAGTTTATAAGAAAATACTTTTAAACGAAAAGCCTGTGAAGTTTAAACGCAAACAGCGGGAAAAACACCCGAAAATCTGAAGTGAAAAGCGTCCCGGCTTCCAGTAACAACAAAGAACTACGTGGTTTCTTCTATGACTGTTATTGGTTTCAGGAGTTTTTACATTGATTTAAAGTAGTTCTATATTATTACAGGAGTTATTCATGTCTCGACTGTGATTACAAAGCAGCTCGTTGTTGATGATGGGAATGGAGAAAAATAAGGGAAATGTCAGAAATGTTTTATGTACCGCAAGTAGGGATTTTTTGCTCCCGATCCGATTCCGATCATTTGATTTTGACAATCTGCCGATACTGATTTTTCCCGATCCGATCTTTATGCAATGCATTAAGAGGAAAAAAAAGGAGAAAAGCATTCAAGTTGTCCCTTAAACCCCACGTTCTCCACCACAGATAACGGCTGGTCATCCAACGCGATGAATTCAGCTATCTTGGCTGTTGTTTTTTTGGCCTTTTCACTGTTCTGGGGCAGTTTCTCTTTCCTTTTAAAAGTCTCTGAAAGTGTCGGTTGTCTCAGTGCCGTTACCTGAGTGGCCGCTGTGTACTCCTCGTGTTGTTGTTGGTGTTTGTATTAGATTGGTCGTGTTGAACGTAGCTCTGTTCTTTCCACCACGCGGAACCTCCGCCTTGCAAACATTGCATCTGGCTGTTACACTGCCGTCGCTTTCATTTTTATAGTACTTCCAAACTCCTGACATTTTCTCTGTCCCGAGTCACCAGCTGAACGTAGCCTCTCGTTAGCTTACTGCTACTATTAGACACTGCGCCCACTCTGTTGCCAGATTTGAGAGAAATAAGCAACCAGGTCTATGAAAACAAGCCCAAAAGAAGCAACACATACATGATGTGTCATTTTAAACCAAAACTAAGGCCTCAGGATGACTTTAAGACGTGAACATGGTCATTTTTGTTTTGTAACATTAAATAAAATAATACAAATATTTTATTAAAAAAAAAAAAAAAAAAATCCCGATCCCCGATTTTTTTGAAAATCACGTGATCGGCTCCGATTCCCGATCACGTGATCGGATCGGGACATCTCTAACCGTAATCACTGTGCGATATAATCCAATATGCCAACTGAACAAAACAGACGGGCTGATATTGTTCTCTAAGAAAGACCTGTTTCAGACTGAAGCTTCTTCAGGTGTGTCGGTCTGATAGTCTGATAGTTTAATGCACCTGAACTCAACACTCCCCCCTCTCCTTATGCTTCACCTGTTAGAAATCTGCTCAAAGATTGTTGGTCACCCTGTCAGAGACTTTCTGACTCAGCAGACCATAATAACCTGAGAGGCTCCAACAACATCCTCTGGGACCCAAAGCATGCTCTGACAGAGAATATGAACTGCTACCATCTAATAGAGATCAATAAAGTGAGACTGAAGCATCCTTTTGTGCTCCAGTCGATCCTCTCAGTAAATACAGAGCTGAATCCAGATCAAATGCACGCTCTTTGAGCAGCTTTCCTCTCACTGATCCTGCTGTTATGTTTGTTATTTGTCTTGATATTTGTCCGTTGGTGTTACACATGGAGCTGCTGTGATGCAAGTCACATTTCAGACTTGATCATTAAAGTATTATCGTATTGTATCATATGAACCTGAACTCAACCCTCCCCCTCTCCCCCTCTCCTCCAGTCTACCCTGATGGGAGGGTCTGTATCTCCATCCTTCACGCTCCAGGAGACGATCCAATGGGATACGAGAGCAGCGCCGAGAGGTGGAGTCCAGTGCAGAGCGTGGAGAAGATCCTGCTGTCTGTGGTCAGCATGTTGGCAGGTACATTACACTGCTGTTACACTGCTGTTACACTGCTGTTACACTGGTATTACACTGGTGTTACACTGCTGTTACACTGCTGTTACGCTGGTGTTACACTGGTATTACACTGGTGTTACACTGCTGTAACACTGGTATTACACTGGTATTACACTGGTGTTACACTGCTGTAACACTGCTGTAACACTGCTGTTACACTGGTGTTACACTGCTGTTACACTGCTGTTACACTGCTGTAACACTGCTGTTACACTGCTGTTACACTGGTGTTACACTGGTGTTACAGGAGTTATTACAATTTCATAACCGCATTTATTTATACTCTTATTTTTCCTCTATCATTTCCTCTAATCACTTGTTTCTCTGTTTGCTCTCTTATCTCTTGTCTCCTACCTTGTTCCCTAATGTCCTCCCTTGTCTCCTCCCTCGTCTCCTCCCTCCTCTCAGAGCCGAACGATGAGAGCGGAGCGAACGTTGATGCCTCTAAGATGTGGCGTGAAGACCGGCAGCAGTTCTACAGCCTCGCTCAGAACATCGTGAGGAAGTCGCTCGGCCTGTAGAGACGACAGTGATTCAGAAACACCTGGACACCTGACACCTGACACCTGGACACCTGACACCTGGACACCTGACACCTGGACACCTGGACACCTGACACCTGGACACCTGACACCTGACACCTGGACACCTGACACCTGGACACCTGGCACGGACTGATCAATGAACTGATGTCTGGATCTACACAATCCAAAATCTACAAAAAGTCAACAGGAGAGAAACCCGTCACCTGTGGAGCAGCGAGACTCTATTATTATCCTCATTAATATGATACACAAAGCATGCAGGCGTTAACACACAGGAGGACAATCTACACATTCTCAAAACATATTTAAATAAATATGATATTACAAATATAACCCTGAAATATAAACATACGGTTAAATACATCCTTTGACAACAAATAGTTTGTTTCCGAAGTGGAATCGCTGAGGACAGATTCAATTCAACTCTGATTATTTAAATCCATAATATATACATAAAAAATGATCCTTCACATGTTTATCTTCCACTTTGTTCTTTTAGGTTAAAGAAAAACACTTTTTGGGCTTCAGAGTGAAACATGCCGTTAATAAGAGGATGATAAGAATCTAAAGTCATGGACAGAAACACCTTCCTCACGTCGTTAAACTGCGAGAGGATGATGATGTTTCGTTGAACTTTAATCTGTTTTATTCTGACGCTCTGATTCGTCTCAGAGCTCCACATTTCTCTCAGACTTTACGCACTTTATCTGAAGGATCGTCTCCGTCGTCGATATATTTTTAAAGAAATGAAGCTGGAAGTTTAGAGTTTCTGACGGGAGGATGGAGAGTTTTATTTTGATGTGTTAATTTGAAAGAAAAATAAACAGGGAAAAATGGCGGACGTGTGGTTTCTATGTCGTGTTGGGGTCTCCCGTCTCAAGTTCAATTATAACTACGCTCTGTTTGTTTATCGGAACAAGGCTTCATGATCTCCTCCAACAGCTTTATAAACACTACAACACTGATTTTGAGCCAAGTCTGAAGGTCTCTAAAAAAAAGTGTATAATTTGGTGTTGGGGTCTGGGGAGACCCAGCAGAATTGTTTTGGGTGACTGGGTCAAATTTGGCCCAATCAAGATTCATCTTTGACTTTAGACTCCCCCACTCCCTTCAAACACTGTAACAATCATTTGTTCGCAACATGCACCTGGTTTCCCCTCCCTCTGTAATATTTTTTTAGTTATATTTCATTAGTTTTACCAAAATAACTTGATTTAATTGTATTTAAAATAACATTTCCAAATAAATAAATCCTTCGAATCTGCCTATTCAGTTTCTGTTTGAATGTGAAGGGTTAAATGAAAGAAGCTCGTCTCTGCAAGCTGATTGGTCCAGCTGTGAATTCACAGAGGGTTGCTATAGTAACTGAACGAGAGAGTAATGTCAAATGACAGTACAATTGACCAATCATATCTTCCCTCTAAATGGGTGGGTTTTATTATCGCGGACTTTATGACAAGTTCCGCCCGTTGTGAAGCTTTTGTTGTTTCCATAGCAACAACAACTTCCTGTCAACAGCGTGAACTCGCCTTCAAAATAAAAGCATGCCAAATGACACTTAAGACATACAACTGCAACGAAAGTAACAAACACAATGCAATATCATTTTCAATTTCAAAGAACACACATTGGGTTTACAGGTGTTGTTTTGTGTGGTAGAGGGTCGCTGTCATTGATGCGTTTTGCACCCTGGGCCATTGTTTTGAGGCGAAGTCCCTCCCCTTCCGGTGAGACTCATGGGACCTTATTTCGGAAAAAGTTTGTATTGAAGTCAATGGAGAGAGAAAGATTATCTTTCGATCCCGTTTGAATTGTGCCACAAATTACACATATGATGTTTGTCAATCTTAAAAAATAATTTCCATGTCAAAAAAGTCACAGTTTGTCGTAAAACTGTTGAAATATAAGACTATGAAAAATACGCAACTAGAAAGACTACAAATCCCAGAGTCCCGGTCCCGCATGCTGGCTCTTAGGAACCGACTCACTTCCCTTGTGTGTATGTACAGCTCTCAACATGCCCAGACTTGGAGTGATTTTCACCTCTTTTAATACTTTCCGCCTCATTCTGAAAGAAAGAAGTGAAATGTGCCAACGTGACGGCCGTCTGGGTGTGTGGTGCGAGACGGGAGATGGAGTTCATTGAGCGGTTTCACACAAAAGATGTGTTACTTCACAGTTTTACGACACATTATTATTTTTTGGACTTGTAAAATTATTTTGTAAAATTGACAAACATCATATGTGTAATTCGTGGCTCAATTCAAACGGGTTCAAAAGATAATCTTTCTCTC